TGTTCAGGATCAAGACCATTTGTCTCATCAGTGGCTGAAATTTCAAAAAGAAAAAAGTAAAKTCATTTAATGAACCATCAATACCACACTGAAGCCATTCAGAGGCTGTGCATCTCCTCAGTTTGGTCTTCTCAAAATGGCTCTGGGCCTTATCACTAGGTCACAAATAGTAAATTTGGGCTTAGAAACAAATACTGTACACTCCCTGAAGTATTCAATAATTCAGGTAATGCTTTAAGATTTATCACTTAATGCAGTTAACAGTAAAGGTTGGCAACAACTAGACTAAGCACAATTAAGTAACATTAGCAAAGCCACAACAAATCAACAATGGAAGCRTGCAAAAAGGAAAGCAGTTGAGCTGATTGTATAACAGTTCAAGATATCAAAAAAGCGGAACCATTATGTAATAGGTAAAAGTCTAAAGTTCTGTTTAAAGTTTCWATGGCCTTTATATATGCAGGATGGCAAACTGTGACTAAGTGATTCAACATAATCTGCTGGCTTCTTTAGATTGTTTTTTTTTATCTCATGTACAGTGCCCTGGACGGCGTATGTTGTGACCTGGCGCTAYATAAATAAACTGAATTGAAGTATGCTGAAGTAGATGAAGTTCAAAAATCAGTAAGATGTTGAATGATTTCACGGAATTCCAATGTATTTTCAATGAAAAAAATGCTTCAAAGTTAAAAAATATAAATGTTATCAATACCAAAAGTCATAGCCATTGGCATATGAAATGAAATTGCTGAAGAACAGATAGGGCTGGGCGATATGACCTAAATTTTTAATTACGGTATTTTCAACAATTATACAGGTATCACGTATTTGACGGGGTTTTTTTTTTCATTACAACTCAATAGATAATAAAATATACAAACACCCCTTATTGATCAGCAAACCACGGTCAGCTGAAGTTGCTCTCTTTCTGCGACCCAGGAACTATTTAACTTTTTTCTTTTATTGTACCTCTGTCTGTGTCCCCGTTTCCCTCCCTGTTTTCTTCTCTGCCTGGTTGTAGACAGTAGTCACACATTCTGGTACAGTCATGAAGGAGGAGGGTTGAGCAAAGATCATAATCGGGTCTATATTTTTATGTGATTTAATAAAACTTCACGGGATGACTCAGCCTCTGTGCACGAGCCAGTTAAAACTAGTACAAATCTACATGAAGTGCCAAGATTCTATTGTGAAAAACCCAGTGAAGTAGATTTGTTGGAGACCTAAATGATTAATGTCTCTATGCATTAACATTAAATTTATCCATGCACTTCACTGAAGAGGTGTTCACAGTTAATGTTTGATGTAAGAGTACCCAGTCAAGATTTTTTTTATTGCCAAAAAACAAGCTTAGTATATCTAGGGCTGGGTGGAATACAGTTTTGTACCAAAAAATTTCTTATTTGAATTTTCTGAATACCAGTTTAATAGTCTGAACACATTTGGAATGTTTTGTCATGCCCACCAGTGAACTGTTTCACAGGGGACATTTTTACTCGATGCACCACTATGTGCAGYGAACTAAAGGTAGAGCAGCTTGTTGGATTAACTGGTGGCGGTTCTGCTGTTTATATTGACTGATGTTTAAAAAAAAACTCCCATTTTTGCCATTGCTGATATTAGTGGTACTTCCCTYGAAGCAACTAAAACCATRTGAAAAAAAWTCTTTAGACTTCTTATTACACCTCCCCTCTCTCACCTGTGCAGTTATAACTCATATTAAATTCATTTAGCATAAACATTTATGCAAACAGCTTACAAGTGGGAAACATTGTGGACTAATACATCTTTCCCAGGGATAACTCACCTTTAGAACTGGAACAGCTTGATGTAGACTCRGGAAACTCCTGTACTTTAAGCTCTCCACCAGCATTCCTGTCACTGTATCCAAAACTCTGGTTGGCAGTCAACAAAAAACATGTAATGAATACAAGTCAGTGTCAAAGCCCTTAATTATTATTTTATTAAAACAAGTTCCCCTCTGCCCCCCAAAGTTATGATGCTGAAGATATTTCCAGCTTGATTCACAATACCCCCACAAAACACACACACACAAAAAAAGAAAAAAAAAATACTTGATCATTATATGTAGGGTCTGGTGTAATGTGGTCTGAAGTCCCCACCCAAGCAGACTAAACCTTTATGCATAATGAGCCATCAATTAACTTCAGCATCATGTTTTATAGCTCATCATGTCAATCATCTCTCCATTCAGAATATATACATACATATGTATGACCCTTTCAATCACACATGCAGGATTACTGAAATAAATCACATTTTATGATTTCTGCTTTATTTATCTGCAGGTTTCAAATTTATCTTTTTATTTTCCATTCAAGTCATTTTTGTGAGTAGTCAGTTTTAACTAACTTTTCCTTTTTTTTTCTTTTTCTTTTTTCGTTAATTTTCACTTTCATTTCTACGTATTTGCTGTAAGACTGGACCTCAAAATAAACGTGCACACTTCTTATTAGCTCTCACTCGGCTAGTAGCCTCGCTAATTTTAGCTAGCCATCCTAGTTAAACTCGATTGAAACATAGCTTTTCAGAGTGATAAATGCAAATAACATTTAGAAGAATATATGATTGTGTCCTATGACATGTAGAAAATAACTGGGAGTCAGTTAAATTAAGAAGAATCTTACCATTGTCTTCCGTGGTGTGCAGCTAGTTTCCTCCTCACTCCTCAGTGTTAGCGTGAAGGTCTGACACCCCGCATCCGTTGGTGCAGTTGCGGAGCAGTCAAAAAGGAGCGCTTGATTTAGTCTCCGGCACACACCGGCGTTTCTCCTTGGGTACAAAAAGCAGCTAGCTGARGCTGACGGCTCAGCCCTGTGTCGGCAACTAACGCAACCATAACTCAGCCGTGACAACTTTAACCAGCATTGATTAAGTAATAAAACCATGAAATGAATAAATATAACTCTGTAATCTCCCACTGTAACGATTCAGGAGACAAAATTATTCATTGTAATGGACATTTTGTAGGTTTCACACCAGTCAAATTGCAGGGTTTGAGAGTTTAGACAAGCCATGGAGA